GAGTACAATAAGGATTAGCTTGTTAATCTTCTAGGTATAAAATCTATCAAAGATGAGTCTTTTGTTGGATCGGAAAATATCTGTCCGAGTGCCGTAAGTTGGAGACCTCAGGTCTGATCATGTTGAGATCGGAGGTTTGAGGTATTACAAACAAGCGCCCCCCCCCAGCTAATATTTGTCATCCTCACATCGAACAAGGCATATAGGTCTCTTGTAGCTTGAGCGGTGCCAACTCAGATTCTACACTGTCTTGGAACCAACAAATCAGTAATGTCTGCAAAAACTCAGAAGGATAATCTGCCTCTTAAAAGGAAATAAAAGATAGTGTTGAAATTAGTTATTTAGAATATAGAATTGTATACTTTGCTCTATTCCAGACTGTCAAGACCTACGGCCTTCTATGAATTTTTTATTTTGCAGAAGAGAGCTGTCAGAAATGTCAATAATGCACCCTATCTAGATCATTGAGTTGTGTAGGCCTCTTTTTGTTGATAGTAAAATAATTACTGTTATAAAAGTATATCTTATTTCTATATTTGTTGTTTGTAAAAAGGAAATTCAGTACTTTAATTTAAATGAAAATGTACACTCATACAACACTAGAAGCTCTCGCTTTATTCATGTTCCTTTCGCTAGACTAAAACATAGATAAAACATACTCCCTTAGTAGATTTATTATCCTTATGGAACAGCTGAAGCCAATTTTATTATAAGTTCTGTACGGTTGCACTGTAGAGGTTGTGTTTTGTTTATAATTTGTTTCTTGTAATTTCAGTCATTTAAAACCTTGTTTAACCAAATAAAACGATCTAATCATATACAATAACTGGCCTCTTAAACCATACAGTAAAGCGCAAATTATGAAAATAGCCAGGCCCGTTTTTGTACCTGCCAGCGCCCTAGGCACAACTAATAGTAGCGCCCCTTTGCAATATACAGATTGTCCACGGACAAGTAAATTATGCGTGAATTTTGTATTTCTACCTGGAATTTTAAATTTACTGTGATCGCGCATGACAACAGTGACGTTTCCGTGACCGCGGAAGACGATAATATGTCTACACTTGGCCGCAAAGGATGATCAGAATATTGCCACGATCACGGAAGACGATGATAATGTTCACACGACCGTGGGAAACAGTAAGAATTTTGCTGCAATCGCAGATGACGATGATGATCTCCACACGACTGCGGGATATGATTAAGATTTGGCCGCAATCGCGGGACACGATTACGATGTCTTCTTCACGACCGCAGGAGATACAATAATGATTTCTACACGGCCGCGAGGGATGATCAGAATTATGCCGCGATCACGTAAGACGATGATAGTTACATGACCGCGGGAAAAGGTCAGAATTTTACCTCATTTGCGGAAGATGATGATGATTTCCACAAGACCGCGGGAGATGATTACTATTTTGGAGGCGATTCCGATTACTATGTCCACACGACCGCGGGGGACGATATAATGATGTCTTCTCGGCCGCAAGGGGTGATCAGAATTTGACCGCTATCGCGCAAGACGATTATAATGTCTAAACGACCGCGGGAAAAGATCAGACTTTTTGGTAGACGATGATAATCTTCTCACGACCGCGGGATATTTAAATATATGCAGCGATAACGGAAGACAATAATTATGTCTCACGACCGTGGAAAATAGTCAGAAATCTGCCACAATTGCGGGGGACGATTACCATGTCTACACGGCCGCGAGGGATTATCAGAAGTTTACCACATCACATGCAAATAAACCCCCCCATTTTTTGACCCCCCTCCCCCCAAAAAAAGCCAATTGCCTCACGTCCTAGGCTCACACCTATTCCGAAAATCGGCCCTGAAAATAACCCTAAAATAATAGAAACAAAATTTTGTCTACACGATCTGTGTCAATGATAAACTACTCATGAAAAACAAGCGTCTAAATTTACAATGAGATGGGAAGTCTACTTGTGTTGCTTAGTCTATGACTAAAGTAAGGTGAAAAATTCGTTTGAATTCATATGTAAACATGTTTTTACAACCTAAATTCTTCCTCTCACCATGTTGATTATAATGTGATAAGACTACTTTGTACAGAATGATGGTTAACTAGTCACCCTTTTTATAAACTAGATGAGTTTTTTAAAAAGCGATATTTTAAATCTGATGTTTTAAAAGAAATTGCAAAGACCCCAACTTTTTTTGTGTTTAATGCTACTGCTACTCTAGTAATTTTTTTTTTCGTTTAACCTGTTTCTGATTTTGAACCATTTTTATCTTGTCATGTTTTATTTACATTTTGTTAACTTGTTTCCAGCCATAAATTAAATGATCTTTGTTATTCTTTAATGTGATATATTTAATTTAATTTAAATATTATGTAGCAAATGACAAACCCTATTTCACTATAAAATGTTTGAAGGGTAGCCTAATGAAGATTCTTATTCTTATTCTTAGTTTGCTTGAATAATGGTGCAAAATTACTAAAATATAGTTCATCACACGGGTAAAAAAACGTATGAAAATATGATGGATTAGTAGCCTACCTACATACCAAATTTCATCAAAATCGGACTACAAGTGCGGTCTGTAGATCTGTACACATCCACACACCCACACACACACACACACACATAAACACACACAGACATCACTTCGAAAACCACTTTTTTGGGTCTAGGGGGACCCAAAACGGATATATATCCACTCAAAACTCAAATTTTGACAAAAAAAGTAGTCTTTTTAGCCCTCACTCATTTCTCAGTTTCCATGAAACTTGGGCTTGGATCGAAAAAAGTTACTTTTTACCCTAGTGAAATATACTAAATTATACACTTTTCACTTTTATTTTTGTAAACATATATTTCCCCATTTAATTTCAATTTAAAAGGTTGATTTAAGCTATTATATCAGCTGATTTATTTATAGTCCTGCATCTGGCTATACTTTGGTGTGCAAACTTGCGTATACTCAATATTCTTGCATAACGTTTTAGTTTGATGTCTAGGGAGTTTAAAAAACCTTGGTGTTTACCTCCTACCCCCTACGTGTTCCGGCTATGATGTCATCAAAATGGCGGCCATTGATTTTTTTAAAGCGTATATTTAGCAAACTATTTGTCAAACTTTGAACTTTTTTTTTGTTTGAAAGATGAGTTTAAATGCTATCTGTTTTACATTTACATATTTGTTGTATGTTTAGTACATTTTTTGTAATTTTGCAAAAACCTTGTATTTTTAAATATTTTTGTGTTATTTTTGTTTGTAATGTTTTATTGATACATTTTTTTTTCAAACCACCAATGAAAAAAGTTGTAGAACGTTTAAAATGGTTTACAAAAATACCAAATTCGATATGTTTTACTCAAAAGATTACGTCAAGAAACTAGATAAATCTCATAAAAACACCTATTTTGGCGCAAAAACGCCTATTAGTCCGGTATCTAGGGCAGTGCGCAAGTTTTACCATTCAATGTTGATGTATGTGTCTAAAGAAGTTTTTTTAACTCGGGTGTCACGTCTGCACCCACTGCAGTTTCCGGCTATGACGTCATCAAAATGGCAGAAAGGGCTATATTAAAAATAACTATATTGATAAACATTAATTATTAACTATATTAATAAATATCAGATCGGAATGAACTTTTTTTTTTTGAAAGATAAGCTTACATGCTATCTTTCTTAGATGTACACTTTTGTTGTATGTTAAGTAAATTTTGCAAAAACCTATGTTTTTAAACATTTTTGTTTATAACGTTTTATTGATACAACATATCAGAAACAACTTAAAGAGAAGGTTGTAGCGCGTTAAAAGGGCTTTACAAAAATACCAAATTCGATATGCTTTACTCTAAGGATCACGTCAAGAAACTAGAAAAATCTTACAAAACAACCTAAATTGGCGCAGAAACGCATATAAATCTGACATCGATGGCTGTGTATGACTCATATATAGACAGTTTTACCATTCAATGTTGATGTATGTGTCTAAAGAAGTGTTTTCAACTCGGGTGTCACGTCTGGACCCACTGCAGTTTCCGGTTATGATGGCTTTAAAATTGCTACATCTTACGATTTCACCAACTATTTTACTTAAAATAAGACCATTACCCCCTTTTATGAAAATAAAAGCACAACAAATCAATTAGTCCATAGGAATGTTCCCACTATATAAATACCCCCGGTGCAGCAATCCTGTCGACTAAGCAAATTTCCATTTGCCTGGATTGATTATCAATTAATCTATTAAATTAACATTGTTTAAGAGTACCTAGGTTTGCTTCTAAAGAGAAACTAATAAAGTGGATTTTTAATTAAAATATTAATGGCTTAGTATTGGATAAATAAATCTGCCAAGTTTGATCAAAATATATCCATAAATAAGCCAACTATACTACATTTACAATATTGGCCATACGAATAACATGTGAATTTTAAATGAAAAATGTTTTTATTTTCACCGTAACCAATAACCGTTCAAAAACACTTTTACATACTACATTAATTGTTTTTTATATTTACTTACTTCCCAAAACCGCATGCATTAATTTGTTTTTACTTTATCCATAACAACCAATTTACTTCATCTCTGAAAACTTTTGTTCCAACGGTCCCTCTGGAACGTCCGAAATAATAACACCAAATGCATTGGACAAAATATTCACTGTAAATCCTATCAATAGCAAACAATATTTTCTTCAAAGTACCACTTCTCCTCGTTAGAGACCCGCAGTCCTCTGAGGACCTTCGAACAGATATTTTCACCTGCCAAAGCCCAGTTTTTATCAAGGAACAAATCACAATACGCCTCTACAACATCCAAGAGGAGCCGACCAACGTAATTAATTGTAAATAAATAAATTGCATGCAATAACATTTAGTACTGTATTGACAAAATATGATTCTGTTTCAAACAAAAACAAATTGAAAAAAAATAATACTGGTACTGAATCTAAGTACTCAACATGTTGCGTTCATGCTCTCTCCTTATAACTGTGTCTGAAGCCATATACAAACCAAGTGCAGGGGGTCCATGTTCACAATGGAATACACATGTATGTGTGTGAACACCTTTGTTTTCTCTGATACAATGGGTCGCTGCCATTTGTTGTAACGACAAGGATCGGTAAGCTGATCAAGCATCGCCAGCGCTGAGCCTGATGACTGAAGGACTGACTTGCACTGCTGTGCTATGACACTAGAAACAAACAATAAGTATAATCATTATACTGCCTAAATCTAGGGAAAACTAAATAATGCAGATGACGGCTGACTAGTTGGTAACCCAGAGTTTGTTGTATACCTCAAAAATGGTACACATTAAAATGGTTGATATCACCCCACTTTTCAGGATTTCCCTATGGAGAAAATCCTTTGGTTTAGAAGGATGTCTAAATCAAAGAAATAATACCCCCGCCGCAGCAAACCTGCCGACTAAGCAAATTTATATTTGTCTAAATTGATTTTCAATTCAATTCAAGTAATATTAGGTTTAACGAGTACCTAGGTTTGTTGCTACAAGAAAACTAATTAAGTGTGGTTTTTAGTAAAATATTAATAGCTTAGTATAAATTAAATGAATTTGCCAAGTTTGATCAAAATATACCCATAAACAAGCAAACTACAACATTTTACAATATTCTCCATAAGAATAACATGGATTTTAAATTTTCAATTTATTAAATTTTCTCCGTAACCAATAACCGTACAAAAACACTTTGATATACTTAATTATTTGTTTTTTAAGCTCTTTAAGAAGTTGGGAAATTTTTTGTTTTGAGTGTCAAAAATGAGAAAAACCCCGTTCCCATGGTCCAATCATGCTGGTTTGCGAACTCATTCAAGTTTATTCTGCCTTACACCTTCAGACCAAATTTCATCAAAATCGGACCAAAATTACTCAAGTTATCGTCCGGACCGACACACACACACACACACACACACACATATATATATATATATATTAATAAATAATAAATATAATAACATGAGTACCCTTTTTTTTATATATTAAAATATAAAGTTTTATATTTAAAATTCCCATGTTATTCTTATGGTGAATATTGTAAAATGTTGTAGTTTGCTAGTTTATGAATATATTTTTATCAAACTTGGTAAATTTATTGATTTTATACTAAGCTATAATTATTTTAATTAAAATCACACTTTTTTAGTTTCCTTGCAGCAGCAAACCTAGGTACTTGTTAAACCTATTGTGGATATTTATAGGCATGCACTGTGGATGAGATACTCTCTGGTGTGGATTAACGTCCGCACGAGTGAGTACTACGACTATCCGCAGTACTATCCTGATAATTAGACCAATTTGTATATACCAAGGCAAAAATGTGGTTTGGATTCCACTATAAACTCTAGATCCCTTAGTTGCCATTAGCTGTATGGGCTATTAATTGTTTAAGGAATATGTTGGCCTTAGACACTAACAAGACTACAAGATTGCGCCTTTCATCTTCATTCATACTTGGCTTAAAATACCTACTTTGTATGGTCGCCATTTCATCAAAAAGTATTAAAAGTATTAAATTAACCTAATGTTATAAAAATAGATTTATTGAAAATCAATTCAGGCAAATGGAAATTCGCTTAGACAGCGGCGGGGGTATTAAAAGCCCAATAATGATTAATCCCTTTATCAAATTTTAAGTGCTCTATTGGGAAACTGTCTCCAATGAAAATTATTTCCTAAAAAAACATTCAAATTTCTATATTAATAATTTATGTGATAGATTATATTTAGCCCAGTCAATGAATGCAATAAAACACCCTTTTTCGCAACTAAATGGTGGAAAGCTGGATTTTTTATATGTGATAGAACCACATGAGAGGTGTATTTTCCCAAAAGTCCCCACTTCTACCCCTTGAGCTTTCCCCCCCACCCCCCTCCAAACATAGAAATTGCAGTGTTTTACTTAATTGGTCATAATTCGAATGCTATGTAAGCTATCAAGCTGAAATTTGTTTTGTTTTATTTCTTATTAGTTTTTCTACAACTTTTGTATTTACAACATTTCTCTAAAACCAATACTTAGGGAGATCTAACATTTAAACTTTGTTAAAAGCATTGTTTCAGAGTGCAAAATTTTGTTTTTCTCTATATATACTTTTAAATAGAAATAATACGCAAATATGGTTCATACAAAGGTTTTAGTACGTTTTTCAAGGTTTACAAATATATTATTAGTTAGTCATCTAGGTGACCGGGTGAAGAGCTGGGCGTCGGCAAAGAGAGCGCATGCGGGCTAGTTGAACACCTCTGCGCTGCGTCATCGCATCTAGCCCATCCAATAAACGCACAAACTGCCTTTTTTCGTAGCTAAATAGTGGAAAGCTGAGTTTGTTACATGTGATGAAACCACTTAAGACGTGTGTTTTCAAAAAGTTTACGATTCTCCACCTTGAGCTTTTTCCCCCAACCCCCTCCAAACCTGGAAATTACAGTCGTTCACTTTACTGGATATAATTCAAATTCTACGCATGCCATCGTAGTGAAATTTGATTTGTATTATTTGTAATTAGTTTATCTTCAACTTTTGTACTACAGGTTTTCTTATAAAACTATATCCAAAGAGATATAGCATTTTAACTTTTTTTGATAATGTTTATGTTTTAGAGTACACAATTTTGTTTTACCCACTATAATTTTTTTTCCAAATAAAATACGCATAATGTGTCAGAAACAAAATTTTAGTATGTTTCTTAAGGTTTATAAATATATGTTTTTGGTTAGTCATCTGTTTTAACTGATGTAGAGTGGGCGTTGGCAAAGACAGCGCATCCGCGCAGCCCCGCACGTCAATGCATAAGGACCGGCACCGCTAAGTTCTCAACTGTTTCATACAAATCGTAAGACTTCCTAATTTGTAGCCTAATTTACTACGCGTGCGGGCTAGTTGAACACTTCTGCTCTGCGTCATCGCATCTAGCCCAGCCAATAAACGCACAAACTGCCTTTTTTCGTAGCTAAAAAATGGAAAGCTGAGTTTGGTATATGCAATGGAACCACTTAAGACGTGTTTTTTCAAAAAGTTCCCGATTTTCCCCCTTAAGTTTTTCCCCGCAACCCCTTCCAACCCTGGAAATTACAGTCGTTCACTTTACTGGATATAATTCAAATTCTATGCATGCCATCGTAGTGAAATTTGATTTGTATTATTTTTATTATTATAAGTTTATCTTCAACTTTTGTTCTAAATGTTTTCTTATAAAACTATATCCAAAGAGATATAGCGTTTTAACTTTTTTGATCATATTTATGTTTTAGAGTACACAATTTTGTTTTACCCTCTATATATTTTTCCAAAGAAAATGTGCAAAATGTTTCAAACAAAAATTTTGTGTACGTTTCTTACGGTTTATAAATATATATTTGGTTAGTCGTCTAAACAAACTGATTTATATACACTATATAGTGTGGTGCGTCGCAAGAGAGCGCGCGCAGGCCTCTTCAAAGCATCTGCGCAGCCCAGCCCCACCCGTCGATGCGTCGCGTCGTAGGCACCGACATTGCTAATTTCTCAAAGGTTGTATACAAATGCTAAAGCGTTGTACTTTGTACTTTCTACCAAAACAATCTGTATCCAAGCTTGACCGTGAACTGCAAAAACAATTGTTATTTAGATGGAACCCAATAATTTACTTTTTTATAACCAGTTTTGGTTCAGGTAAATTAATCTCTACCTACTTACTTGTTATACTTGCAATTACTTGATAATTACTTGTAATACTTGATTTCTTCATCTTTGACCAACGGAAGATTGATAGATTGAGGTATAGAACAATAGGCCTAATAAAAACTTTAAAAATCACTATAAACATACTCTTTGCTCTTCCTTACGTTACAATGGGCTTTCCATTATCTTCCACCAATGGGACTCGCAAGATTCCGCAAGATTTATACTAACTGCGCCTTGTGGTCAGTAAAGATCTAAACAGTAAACTGCAAAAAAATAATAATTAGATTAAACCTAATTATTTGTACATTTCTTAAATTTATTGATAGTCTTAACTCGTTCCTCATTTCAAATAATAATTTATTTAATTATTTCTGTCAACGTATACACCTAATGACAATAATGTGCATGGATACATATATTACATTAAATAAAACTGGGTAAGAAACATACTGAACCCAATGATGAGATGACCCCATTCGCCTATGGGTCTGAGGATGATTGCAGTGTCGAATCGAAATCTACCACCACTTACCATCTTTTATGTATATTTACAGTATTGTGAGTAACATTATAAGTGTAAATTTATGTTTTAAGTGTTTGGCTATTAGACGTATTTTCTTTTATTTACTTTCCAATTAATTAATGTAATAAGGTATATATCCAAAAGTTATAAATAAGTAAGTAAAAAACTGTATTTGTGTCCCCATACATGCAGGCAAGACTATTTACGGGATACATACAGGAAAATTATTCAAATTTCCTTTCTTAACATATCGTGAAGAGGTGTCAATCAAATTTGGTTTTTTTCATAATCTTGGTGACGCTCTGTTCTCTAATATTTGATTGTTTTCATGTTATCTTAAAAATGAGTCAGCATAATAGTTCTTTTTTGGTTCGTGGTAGACATTATGCAAACGTTTAACATCGCTAATAAAGATGAAGGCGCTTATTAAGTGTTTTAAAATCTCCTCTATTATATATAAAGACTTAATAAAAAAGTTGGTTTTAACATTGACTGGTTTTAATTTGTATATTCATTATCATGATTAAAAATAGCTTATAAATATTACCGACAGTTTTCTACGTTGTTCGTGATATTATTTTAACACAGGCTTACAACTCATGGCAGAGCAGAAAGCTAACCCTTGCTAGTGGGAAGCGTGAAGAGAGGGACATATCAATAATAGGACGCAGTTTGTATCAAGGATTAGTGGGTCGATGAAAACTTTTTACTGACAGCGAGATGCTTCATTTAGTCACGGTTTAGCTTGGAAACAGATTTTTTTGGTAGTAAATTAGGCTACAAATTAGGAAGTCTTACGATTTGTATGAAACAGTTGAGAACTTAGCGGTGCCGGTCCTTATGCATCGACGGGCGGGGCTGCGCGGATGCTTTAAGAATCCTGCACGCGCTGTCTTTGCCAACACCATAGATTAAAAGAAGTAGACATACTTCTTTTCTATATTACTTCGTGTCTATACTCCTTTTATCTATGCCAACACCCACACTACATCAGTTATTTCAGATGACTAACCAAATACATATATTTATAAACCTTAAGAAACATACTAAAATTTTGTTTCTGGCACATTGTGCGTATTTTATTTGGAAAAAATATATAGAGGGTAAAACAAAATTGTGTACTCTAAAACATAAACCTTATCAAAAAAAGTTAAAATGCTGTATCTCTTTGGATACAGTTTTATAAGAAAACCTGTAGTACAAAAGATGAAGATAAACTAATTACAAATAATACAAATCAAATTTCACTACGATGGCATGCGTAGAATTTGAATTATATCCAGTAAAGTGAACGACTGTAATTGCCAGGTTTGTAGGAGGTTGGGGGAAAAAGCTCAAGGAGGAGAATCGTAAACTTTTTGAAAATAAACGTCTTAAGTGGTTTCATCACAAACTCAGCTTTCCACTATTTAGCTACGAAAAAAGGCAGTTTGTGCGTTTATTGGCTGGGCTAGATGCGATGACGCAGCGCAGAGGTGTTCAACTAGCCCGCATGCGCTCTCTTTGCCGACGCCCAGCTCTTCACCCGGTCACCTAGATGACTAACTAATAATATATTTGTAAACCTTGAAAAACGTACTAAAACTTTTGTATGAACCATATATGCGTATTATTTCTATTTAAAAGTATATATAGAGAAAAACAAAATTTTGCACTCTGAAACAAAGCTTTTAACAAAGTTTAAATTTTATATCTCCCTAAGTATTGGTTTTAGAGAAATGTTGTAAATACAAAAGTTGTAGAAAAACTAATCAGATATAAAACAAAACAAATTGCAGCTCGATAACTTACATAGCATTCGAATTATGACCAATTAAATAAAACACTGCAATTTCTATGTTTGGAGGGGGGTGGGGGGAGAAAGCTCAAGGGGTAGAAGTGGGGATTTTTGGGAAAATACACCTCTCATGTGGTTCTATCACATATCAAAAATCCAGCTTTCCACCATTTAGTTGCGATAAAAAACATTTATTGACTGGGCTAATTATTTAACCTGAGCACAAACAAAACAATGGGATAAAAAACAATAGTAAAGAAAACTATAGATCAAATTAAAAAAGCTTATGTACAAATCATATACTTACTGTTTGAGGGATACAATACATAGCAAAATCACAAAAAGTGGATAAGTTGTGGTGTTCATGACTTCACTGACAAGTAGAGGATTGAGAGTAAGAGCTAAATATTTGTATAAGATAATGCTACTTAAAAAGACCTTGAGTTATAATTAGCGGACCTAAAATCTAGTAGGTACTAATCAAAATACTTGTTCAGTTCATAAGTTTTGCAAATAAATTGACTATTCCATTTTGGTATTTCTGTGAGTTGAACAGTCCAGCAAAGAATCAGTTGAAATTTCCTTATCAGTACCTGTCATACCTAGTTATATTAAAAGTTTTCTTATTGGTAGGCCTAAGTTGACTTCAGGGACATGTAAATAAAATGGATTGTAATATCGGTCACATTACCATATCAACCACAGATGTGCTAGTCACTTCATTATCTGAATTGTTGTCTTAAGTTGTTTGTATTCAATCTTAAACTTCAGCAAGAATGTTGGCTGTTAGTAAACATAATTGTTAAGTTTTTCTTTCTCCTTGGGTTTTTACTCATATTAAGAAGAATGAGTTTTCCTCTAACATAAGGAAGTCAATACTCTAACTTAATTTATTTTCCACATCTGCAGAGTAATGAAGACAATTGCTGCTATAGTTTTATACCAAGGGTTCCAGCCTCTTGAGCCGTATTGTCAATTTTTGGGGGAAAAGGCAGGACCAATGAAAAATACTTATTTACCAAATCTAAACTGATGAACCAACTTATTGTTAGCTATAGCAACTGTTATGACCCATCAACTATGTCAGTAACAAAAAACCAAGTAGAAAACGCATAGCCACTATCGCATTCTGTGACTGGCTCACACAATTATGTACTTTTTTTTATAAAAAATTAGCGACAGCTGGTCTATATAGATTATATATAGTTGTATCCATTTACTGTGGGAAGCGAGCTGGTCTATAAAATATGGTAGAGCGTGGGACTTCGGTCTTTTGAGGTCTCGGGTTCAAATCTCGGCAAATCACCAATGGATTTAATCCAATTCTGACTGAGGAAGTCACTTGCTCAGGCCACTCTTTCTGCGACCTGAGTAGGGCTTTCGATTGTGTGGACCATGATGACCTGATAATGAAATTAAGTTTTTACGGTATCAACGGAACTCCACTTTCTTTTTTCAAGTCATACTTAAACAATAGAACACAAAAAGTCAATATTGGTGGAGAATGGTCCCAAGAATTAAAAATAAAATATGGCGTGCCTCAGGGGTCTGTTCTAGGTCCTCTGTGTTTTTAATTTGTATTAACGACCTCCCAACATGTATAACTAGTAAAACTTATTTGTATGCAGATGACACAACATTTTTAAATATTAATCCCGATCTTAAACAACTTCAAGAGTTAGCACAAAACTCAATTAGTGAAGCTTCTAACTGGTTTGAATCTAATGGCTTCCTCTTAAATAAAGATAAAACTCAAAAAATTGTTTTTCGCCTTAGACCGTGCGAATTAAATATGTTGGATGGCTATGTAGACAATGTGAATTTTCTTGGTATTTATCTGGATAAGACTCTTTCCTGGGGACCTCATATTGATTACATAAGTTCTAAGCTTTCAAGGGTAGTTTGTCTTATGACTAAACTAATACATTGTATAGATCAAAATTATATTAAAACGGCCTACTTTGCTTATTTTCAATCCATTTTTAGATACAATATTATATTTTACGGTAATTGCAGTAGGATAGAGGAAATTTTAGTCTAACAAAAGAAGTTGGTTAGAATTATATCTTATGAACCCAACAGGAACACTGTAAACCCCTGTTCATTCAGCTGCAAATTCCAACAGTGATTAATATTTATTTATTCGACTCTGTATCATACGTTCTAAAAAAAATCCCAACTTAATAAAACAAATGTCTCGTGTTCATTATACAAGGAATAAAAGCGTTGCTACCATAGATTTTTTCAGACTGTCTAAAACTCTTAAAAGCCATATTGTAATCTCACTAAAAATATACAACAAGCTAATACATTTAATATGAAAACATCCTGAAAATACTTTTAAAACTAAATTCTACAGATGGCTTTTGAACAACCCATTCTATTCTCTAAATGAATTTTTTGAATTGTCTGGTAATAATTTTTAAGTAGAGTTAGCGAATTGACCAAAGTACTGTTGGACTTTGTTGGTTATGCGGTTTAATCACTTCCATTATTTTCAACCCCACGAATTTTTCTTAAGAATAAGATCACCTATTCAATTGTAATATTTAAAATATGTATTGTAAAATTTCTCATTTTATGTAGTTAGCTATATTGTATCTTACTGTATTTATTAACTGACTATGCTATAAACCTTAGCAATTGTATGACTTTGTCAATAATTTGTGAAAATTCTAAGGACAATAAACACATTTCATTTAATTTCAATTAAGTGATAATGCCACAAACCCCTAGTTCTAGCCTGAAAGTAATGTGCTAAACAATTTTGGGCTCGTGCCTAACGTCTTAGGGGAAAACGATAAATAAAAATTATCCATTTCCTGTAACATAAACCCTTGCCCACTGGGTAGACTTTCTTCAAGATACGCTTGCATTACGTAATAAAGACAAACGTATTTAAATCACACACATTTATTATTACTAGAGGTCGTCAAGTAGTTGAAAACTCGACCAAAAAAATGTTATGTACAGACTTCACTATTTTCACCCCACGCTGTAAATAAAACATGTGATAGGGATTTCTTTTGAAAATGTCTTGAAAAAAGCATTTTGTATCAAGGGCAGTTATTTTGCTTATGTGGCAACATGATGTGAATGCCGTCGTATCACGTTGTGTGGCTTCGGACCGGAAGTGTTTCAAATAGCAAAATGTGCATTCTAAGTTCATAAGTCCAATGACTGAGCCACAAAACTCCCGAGGCACTTCTCTTACGTACATTTAAAACTATCTATCAAATTCGGTATAATAACTACATCTTGTTGATTAACTCTCATACAATATTACGGTTACGGTTTCTTCTTTCTATCCGGCCAGGCATTTCAAAATGATACTTGAAAGTCAAGTTTATAATAAACGAATTCAGTAAAATGATCGAAATTTCACTAAACAATAAGTAAGTATAATAATCGGACATATCACCCAACACACAATCAGTGCAAAATCAGACTCGCCACCACTGAGAACTAAATTTGTTTATGTTATTATTTTGAATCAATATTTTGGATGATGATTGCTTTACAGCTGGTGAAAATACCACAAAACAAATATTATTAATGGAACGTGGTTTGAATTGCATTTCATACAGTACACATTTTATAAGTATACATGTGATTGGAGTTTCTTTAATTTGTTTTGATTTTCTGTTTATATTGCGTTGTTATTTCGTCACCAGCATGGCAACCCATATAAGACCCATGTTAACTTTTTGAAATTTCAAATTCATTTTTTGTGCTTATTTATTAGCCTATTTTAATTTATAAAGGAACTCTGCACATCTACAGGAAAATATCTTTCTAACAGAATGCGTAGATTTTCTCTGTGAAGCAAGTGAGCTGAGAAAAAAGGTTTTAAAGAAACATACTTGCCTATTAATATATAGATTTTTATTTATCATTATCAATTGAGATGGGAACGCCACCTAGCACATTTTAACCCAATATGAGTGAAGGATGAATGTAGAATGAAGTTGATGATCCGGGTAGCTTTGGCTGACTAAGATCAGCTATTTTTTTTAGCCAGGATCATTTCAAAGCTCAATGATCTGGATACAGAGTTATGCACTAGAAGGGATGTCTACTCCAGTATTCAATAGTTAATGCCAAGGCTTGAGGTGAAATCTTTGTGTGCATGCCTTCAATTTGGGTCCTCAATCATGAAAATCGGTCGGGTAGAAGAGCCATACAAACTCGGAAAAGAAAAACCAATTTGAACCCCCTTAAGAAATGCATGGGCAGCAAATTTCGTTTACGTACAAACCGAGTGGGATTATAGATAAATATATGCCGATGCTTGATGGCAAATCTGTGCGTGCATACCTTCAATTTGAGACGTCAATCATGAAAATCAGTTGCGTAGAAGAGTCAAACAAACTCAGAAAAGAGAAACCAAATTTAACTCCCATAAGAAATACACGGAGAGCAAGTTTACGTATAAGCTGAGTGGGATTATTGATAAATATATGCCAATGCTTGATGGCAAATCTGTGTGTGTATACCTTCAATTTGAGACCTCAATCATGAAAATCGGTCGGGTAGAAGAGCCAAACGAACTCGGAAAAGAGAAACCAAATTTAACTCCCATAAGAAATAGATGGGGACCAAATTTCTTTTACGTATAAGCCTAATGGGATTATAAACAAATATATGCCGATGCTTGATGGCAAATCTGTGCGTTCATACCTTCAATTTGAGACCTCAATCATGAAAATCGGTCGGGTAGCAGAGCCAAACGAACTCGGAAAAATAAAAACCAAATTTTTTGAATATATGTATAAGATTCAGGAACATCATTCGTAATAATGCTATGTTGTGATGTATGATTATGTTGACCACAAACTAATATCTCATCAGTTATTATGAAAAAATAATTGAACTGAATAAGGTCAGATATTTTTTTGTTAATTTGTTTATCATTTAGTTAAGTGTGACTACCCGGGTCTCAAACTAATTTTGAGTACTGTTATGAAACTGAAACTCGTCCTAATTATGGTTTCATATGTATTGAATGATGTCTTATGAGACTACTAAAATTTGTGTTTTGGAAATTTTACTATTTTATCCTTTTTCATGAAAATATTTTAACTAATTTTGAGTATCGTTATTAAACTAGTTTATAATCTTGGGCATTAGAGCGTTGGATGAAATGAAACTCATCCTAATAATGGTTGCATATGTATTGAATAATGTCCTTATTGTAGTGTTAGTTCAGTTAAGCTTTTTTTTTAAATCTGTAGACAGTGCAATAAGTGCTACACTCAAAATAAGTTTCAAACCAACCTCACGACTTAGTTTAGAACTTGGACTAATAACAAAAGCATAAAACAAAGTTAGAAAAAAAACCACACACACCAAATAAATTCTCTCCTTTGTAACTACGCATTGATAAGTTGAAGAAAATACCTAAGTGAGACAGATTGGTGTATAGTTGGATTCATGTCTTCATTTCTTACCTCTCTTGCTGAAATTGGGAGGAGTAAAAAATTCTAGGAAAATACTAAAATGGAAGGAAATGTTGGGCAAATAAAAATATCACATTAATCTCACTACATCTAATATACAGATTTTTATTCATACAAAACAAAACTACTGTATATAAATCACAGTTCTTGATATGAAGTACAAGTAAAGATTCTTAAACTATCATTTACATCCTTCGGCAAATCAACCAAGTAATAATAGCTTACATTTACACTCCTATTTGTATGAAAACACTCTATTGACCATAAAAACCAGAATAATGATCAATTCTTTAGATTGAACGACAGAAAATCATTAGCCAAATAAACTAAGTGGTTTTTGGTACTTTTTCAATGGGAGGCTTATGAAAAGATATATAGGCCTACACTTCACTCATAAATATGATCTCAGGTCCTAATTAGTTAATATAAAACTATAAATATAACCTTTTTAAATAATACTGACCTATTTGTATATTATAGTGCTTAAAATACAGGGTGTTTTAAAAGAATGCCAGGATTTTAAACGGTCGTTGCTCGGGGTCCGGGGACTATTCAAGATAATTAAACAATTTAAACGTCAAATTGAAGGGAAAAGAACAAAGTTTTTTCCTCATTCTTTCATACGATTCAGAATTATTTAATAAAATTCAGATTTTCATCAATCTTATAAGCACTGTGTCATCATTATGTCGACACAGTTAATTATCTCAAAATTCCTAAAGTTTCGGTGACAGACACTAATGTAGCTTGTAATACATCTCTTAAAACATTAACTGAATTTAAACCTACAGACACATTAGAAATCATTAAAATAAAACAAGGTCTAAACAATTCCCATGCTGTTGGATGGGATGAAATCCCAATCAAACTCATTAAATTGTCAGAACACATCATAGCTCCAGTTTTAAGCAAAATAGTTAATCAAAGTTTTTTAAATGAAGAATTTCCCGATAAGCTCAAATTTTCAGAAGTAAACCTATTTTCAAAAAAGGATCAAAAAGAAATATACAAAACTATAGACCTATTTCTCTACTTAGTAATCTTTCTAAAATATTTGAAAAATTGATTCACCATCGCATAACTGATTTTTTGGAAAATAATAATTTACTCAACAACCTTGGTGCTGACTAAATTTGTCAACTCAGTTTCGGAGGCTCTGGATGGATCGCAGGGTGTTGCGGGGGTTTTCTGCGATCTGTCCAGGGCTTTTGATTGTGTGGACCATCAACTTTTAATATACAAACTAAAAAACATTGGTATAAGAGAAAAGGTCTTAGGTCTTCTCTCAAACTACTTACTAAATAGAAAACAGCGCACAGTAGTTTACAAACAGAACAAACGGTTTCCGACTAGATGGGATAGTGTCCATTATGGGGTACCTCATAAGGTTCTATTCTGGGACCATTGCTATTTCTGATTTTCATTAATGACCTTGAATCAAATATTACCGGTAGTTTATTTTTGTATGCTGATGATACTAATGTCGTGGTAAAAAACAAAGATTTTCAGCAATTAGAAAAATCAATTAAAACAACTGTGGATGAACTAAAAAATTGGTTTTACAAAAATGATCTTTTAATGAATGATTCTAAAACCCACTTAATGTACTTTAAAATTAGAAACTGTGAAAAAAACAAGTTGGAGAATTTATCCTGTGGTGAGCTAAAATCAGTCAATTCCCACAAGGTTCTAGGAATACACTTTGATTATAAACTAAAATGGGAAAATCATATTCAATATCTGTCAAAAAAGTTAAATTCGTTTAGGTTTGCACTAAGTGTAATTAGTGTAATACAACATCAATGGATGTATGTAAAATGGTATACCACGCCTACATCGAATCAATAATTAGGTATGGAATAGTACTTTGGGGCTGTCAGCCCCAAACTAAAATTATTTTTGACGCTCAAAAATCAATAGTGAGGACTATGGCTCGAGTTAAAAGAAGAAAAAGCTGCAGATCTTTATTTAAAGATATTGGTATCTTAACACTTACAAATCTTTACATACCTAACTGAAATTATTGTTAAACTAATGTTTAATGATATTACAATTTTTGATGACTGTAAATTCAACCATACCTATCCAACACGACATCAGAACAAATTTAAATTTCCTCGGCATAGGCTTTCATTATATGAAAACTCACCAAAATACACATGACAGTAAAAGTTTATAATAAATTGTACAGCATTTTACTCAACAATAATTAAAAGAACTTAGCCCTTACATCTTTACACAAACTTCTCCTTCAAAAACCACACTACACTATAGAAGAGTTTTTTAATGATACTTTGTAAAATGATACGCTGAATGATAAGGTCTTTTCTGGTTATTTATGAGATATTTTACTTCTGTCAACTATGCTTTATTAGTTTTAGTTTATATTGTGACGACACTCCAATCTTTTGTACCTTGTGCATTATAAGATGTGATGAGTAAATAAAGAATTTGAATTTGAATTTGAATAAGCGTAAAACTAGAAATGTCTGTACGCTTAAGGCGATCGGCGGGTTTATCTGATGTCTTAACTGAATCTTTTTAGGCACAAAGACTCTTTCATTTACAGATAACATCATAAAGTGACCAATTTAGGTTTTTTCAGCTGAAGACTTCGACGGGCAATCAAATTTTTCTGGCTTCTGATGCAGAATTGTCTGATTTCTTCGACTAAGTGATTGCTTGTTTTTAGCCGGCCAGGTGAATGTCTTTTCAAAACACTATGGTGCCCCAAAACTCAATTAATCAGCTTTAAGTTTTTTTATCATCAAGTAGATTTATTAAATTTAGTTTCATTTAGCAATGGAGATAAACTCTGCGAACCACAGATTACCATCTGTGCCTTAACGTCGTACTGGCGACTGGCGTCAAGCGTATGAGTCACAATAGCGGCCTAGCACCGCGCACCTGTTTTGCACATGACAAGGTCAAAGTTTCGTCCCTTGCTACTCGGGAAACAACAAAACTTAGTTATTTAAGCTTCAATTTGACGTATAAAAAGTTTAGTTACCTTGAATAGTACCCAAGCAATCTATTATATTATTAAAGTGATACAATCAAATTTTATGTAAACGGTTAGGGTCATTTACCAAATAAAAATATAGGCATATGGCACATAAAAATAAAGGGGATTAATTTTATAATTTTTCTTAATTTTATAATTCTAGGCCTAGTAGTGAATTAAAAATTATGCGCTGTGCTCTCTACTACAACGCTGTTAACGGAGGAATTTTGAACTAAACTATGATGTCATCGTTGCCTCATTTGTACCTCCCTTAAGTCAGACCCGTGAGGTTGTATACATTTTGTAAAGTATTGCTCAAAGTTTCATTTATTTATTTATATAGTAAGCTACATGTGAAGAGGCTTGAATAAAATTGAAGAAAATGGTAAAACATGTTATTCATAAAGCATCAATATGAAGCAATAATTGATGCTATTGCTACACTAAGGTATGTTGTCTTATTCTAAGGGATCTATTAACATCAAAAGAAGGGGTTTGAAAGTAAGTAGGTTTACGCTTTTAAATCAGTTTATATTTTCAAACTAAATCATAGAGTTGCTGTATTTTAAAACACACATCAGCACCACTTTAATAGCTCTCTAGGTCACATTTTCTTCCCGTTGCAAAGCACAGGTATAGCAGCTGGTTATCATTTAAAATCCTGGCATATAACTATATACCTATATATAACACCCTGTACATATAACTATATACCTATATACCTTTATATATAACCTTATACACCTGTATATAAATACCTCTTTGACCAAGAACTTAAAATAGGAGTGTTCAAGGAAGTAATTCAGTTTGTAATAAAATGTTTGAAACTCTATAAATGAAAAATTATACAACCTATCTTCACGGGGTGAGAATCGATTGAAAGGGGAGATTCTAAAGTTTAGTTTGACACTACTTTTGGTAAACATAGTTGCAAAGTTAGCCTCTACAAACATTTTAAAATTTCAACCACGGTTTTAAATTAATTACACAATCTAAAATCTATGAAACTCGCAAAGTAAAAAAGTATAGAGTAGATAATAGAGAAGGTGAGTTAATAAATAAATTGATCAAGATTATGGCTAAAAACTATACATGCTCTATGTGCCCCCTCTGGCTGCACAGCACACATCCATTCAATTATTGTAGTCCGTAATCGTCCCAAACTCTAAGACACAGAACATTTTTTTTGCTTTTTTAAGGTTCCTTGCAGTTTACAATAATGGGGGACAACAATAGTTGAGTGGTAAGTTATAGAACTAATTGAAACCTAACAATATTACTTAAAAATTTTGACAATTCAACGTATGAAGTTTTGAAATTTAGAGAGGTAAAGGTGTGTCATTAATTTAAAATTGTAGTTAAAATCTAAAATTGACTATAGAGGCTAATTTTGCAACTATGTTTAACAAATTGGTGTCAAACAAAACTTTAGAATCTCCTCTTTCAATTGATCACATCCCGAATTGATGATGTTGAATAGGTGATTGTTACTATAACCTTCCTCATACAAATTAACTGACTACACTCAATTGTATAGTAATTTTCCTGACTGACTAGTAGAAACTTAATGTTCATCATCTATTCCTCTCTTTACACTGCTAGACAATAAAACAGTCTGTTCACACTTCAGAGTGTTTGTCTACTGGAATTTAAAACGAGACAAATACCCAATAGAAACAATTGAAAATAATAAATGCAAGAGGAAACACAATCCTACTCCTGCGGTCTATCCAGTTGGCTATTTCCTGTGGAGTCATTGTAAAGAAGCTCTTGTTGGGAGACTGAGGAGGAGGAGTTGGGTCCTCAAAGTTGACGACAGGCACAGTCAGTGACGTTGCACTTATTTCCTTCAGTGGGTCTCGGCCAATGGAGTCTAGCGACATCACCGTCAGCTGGCTGTTGTTGGTATCCTAGAAATATTGTGTGTACATCACATTATTCAACCTTCACAGGCCATTTGTATATAACTTAATAATTAAGTTCATTTAATTAGTATTTTGTTTGAATATTACTCAAATTACCTGGGGACCCCCCCACTCTGCGATGCCAGTCTTTACTACTTCCTTCACCATTTCCTACGTCATGGACTTGTTTCCTTCCTTTTTCATAGCATTTAAGAATTACAGATACATTAATAACTACCACAAACGATTCCCACACTCTGCGATGCTAAACTTTACTACTTCCTACGTCGTGGACCAGTATTCATCTCTTTCCATAGCATTTTGGTATTTTAAATACATTAATCTGATTGCCACAAACATTTCCCACACTCCGCATTGCAAGCATTTACTACTTCTTTGACCATTTCCTATATCTTGGACATGTTTCCATTCCTTCTCATAGCAATTTAGTATTTCAGTTTCAGATACATAAATCTAGCTGTTACAATTGGTTTCCAGTTCCCAGACTCCACACTGCTCGCCTTTACTACTTCCTTCACCTCTTCCTACGTTGCAGACCTGTTTTCCCCCTTCCCATTGCATTTTAAGATTGTAGATACCTTAATCTAATCCTCATAAACAGTTCCCACACTCCGGACTGCTCGCCTTGACTACTTCCTTCACCACTTCCTACGTCTCAGACCTGTTTCCCTCCCTTCCCATAGCATTCTAAGATTGTAGATACCTTAATCTAATCATCATTAACAGTTCCCACGCTCCGGACCGCTCACCTTTACTATTTCCTTTACCACTTCCTATACGTCGTGGACAGGTTTCCCTCCTTTCCCATAGCATTCTAAGATTGTAGATACCTTAATATAATCCTCATTAACAGTTCCCACACTCCGGACTGCTCGCCTTTACTACTTCCTTCACCACTTCCTACGTCGCGGACCTGGTTCCCTCCCTTCCCATAGCATTTTAGAATTGTAGATACCTTAATCTAATCGTCATAAACAGTTCCAACACTCCGGCCTTCTCACCTTTACTACTTCCTTCACCACTTCCTATACGTCGTGGACCGGTTTCCCTTCCTTCCCATAGCATTTTAGGATTGTAGATACTTTAATCTAAACGTCATAAACAGTTCCCACACTCCGGAACACTCACCTTTACTACTTCCTTCACCACTTCCTACCTCGCGGACCTGTATCCCTCCCTTACCATAGCATTTTAGGATTGCAGATACCTTAATCTAATCGTCATAAACAGTGACCATACACTCCGGACTACTCGCCTTTACTACTTCCTTCACCACTTCCTACGTCGCGGACCTCTGTTTCCTTCCCTTCCCTTAGCATTTTAGGATTGTATATACCTTAATTAATCTAATCATCATAAACAGTTCCAACACTCCGGCCTTCTCACCTTTACTACTTCCTTCACCACTTCCTATACGTCGTGGACCGGAATCCCTCCCTTCCCATAGCATTTTAGGATTGCAGATACTTAATCTAATCGTCATAAACAGTTCCCGCACTCAAGATAGCTCACATTGACTACTTTGACTACATCCTTTACCACTTCCTACGTCGCGGACCTGTTTCTTTACCTTCCCATAGCATTTTAGGATTGCAGATACCTTACCATTCTTATGGAACAGCTGAAGCCACTTTTATTGTTAGTTCTGTCTGTTTTTCTGTAGATGTTATGTTTTGTTTACAATTTGTTTCTATTATTTTAGGGTTAGTTTCTCATTATTTGTGTCTCACTGTTTGGTTATATAGCCAACGATAGTTATACAGTATAGTAATATAGTACGGTAATATAGTAAACGAGTTATCGTTTATGATTAAATAGTATTATTTGGTTAAACGAGGTTTTAACCCTAGCAGTGGCCAACCGTCGTCTGGTGACGGTTTGACGTTGATGCTTAAAATGGCCAGCCGTCGTGTGGTGACGGTATGGGCCTAAATTATTTTAACGGTAAAAAAAAAACACTTATAATCAACTCAGATGAGAATAATATATATACCATTCGAAAGATCACATTCTGAACTTTCGTTTTATTACATAAACAAACCCTGTAGCAGGTATATAACAATGTCACGACGATTAGAAATCAAATGAATTTTTGGCGCGGCACGACTTTAGCAGCCGACCCTTGGGAACTGGCAAAACACGTCTTGTTTGGCATTACCCTGTTCGGGTAATTTTCGTCTTGGGATGTTGCGGGTGGTACCACTGGATAGCCATTGATTTTATCTTCATTGTGGTAGTGATATTTTAGAACTAAATACTGATTATGTTTTACCTATGATTTTATGAAAACAGCTGTTTTCGAAATTTATAACAAATGGCCAACCGTCGTCAGGTGACTGTATGGAAAATACAAATTACATACAGTGTAAGTTATTATTACTAGTCATATAATATGTCATTTTGAAGAGGAAGAAATGTAGCTTGTGATAGTGGCAGCCCTGCGTTCAGGGTTAATTTCGGTTTCTCTCACTAAGACGACGAAAGTGTGTTACTACTGTCAAGATCTCATACATAAAGTGCCTTGTATTCGCCATTGCGTGTTGTTGCCGGTGAGTTTTCACTCTTGTTTTATCCGCGATTGATTACTAAACTCGTTATTATTTCGTGTTTTTTGAGAAATGTGTATGTGTATATAACAGTAATCTTCATGTATTTTATTATGCATGAGTATGAATATTTACTGAATAGTGTCAAATTGTGTTTATAAAAGGTTGTATTTTTCTTTTGGTTGTATTTTGAGGTTTTCCGTTTATTTATATTATTATGCCCCTAGCACGTAAAAATAAAAATTTTTACCCAACATGTTATACATTTTTATGTAGGTAATTGAATACACTACAAGATGTTTATGTTGGTTTGAAGTAAAAACATTTGGTACAAAAGTTTTATACTAAATACTATGACTTTTTTTTCTCACAAAATCGCTAAAATACAAAAACATTATTTTATTTATAAATAAAAAATATTTTTAACCATAAACTTTATGACTTTTTTTGATTCCTTACTTCATTAGCTTTACAAACATGTATATATCATTATTAGTATACACATATATTATATAACCTTTTACAACACAAACTAACACTGTACGGTTTTCAATTTTTTCAGTTCTCCGTTTGTGTTATAATGTTTATATGTTTATATGATTATATGTTTATTATAATGTTATTATATTTCGCCCCAAAAACTTATAAAAAAAATATTTTCCTAACATGTTATATTTTTCTATGTAGGGAATTAGATTGTATACAAAATTTATATAATGAATTTCCCATAAATAATCCATAGAAAAAAAATATCGAGGCCGCTTTTAAAATTAAAAAAAAAATCAAATTTTATATTTTTTGCTCTTTACCGAAAAAATACACTATCTAAATCATTATTATATTACTATTTCTAGATTCCCCTGTTCTTCCCAAACAAAATGAATATGAGGTTGGCTAGGTTTACTTGTACGGTTGAATTTTTACGAATTTTCAAAAAAGGGCTGCAAAATCGCCCAAATGGGTTGGTCATTCCCCACTTCTAACATTGGCCACTGCTAGGGTTAAATTACTGAAATAACAAGAAACAAATTGTAAACAAAGCACGACATCTACAGAAAACCGGACAGAACTAACAATAAAATTGGCTTCAGCTGTTCCCTAATGATGGGAAATCTGCCTTAATCTAATCGTCATAACAGATCCCACACTCCGCACTGCTAAGTTAGCCTTTACTACAATTTATTGAGTAAGCTTCAGTATAATCATTGCTCAATAGTAACAAGTGATGTTTTTGCTTTTGTACTGTATTTTGTAATTTCTAGTATACTGTGGGTAGATACCTTTATGAACACATGGGTTACAACTTACAAGTCTTTTGTTTACTTTTTCCTTGTTATTTAATTCAACCAACATGGTTGAACCCATAAGACTAATGTTTAAAAAATGTGACTTTCAGTTTTATTTTTCTACCTAATTAGATTTTTGTTGGCAGTTCTAACTGCAGTAAACTCGTTTTCAGGCCAGGAATAAACTATTTACAACATTTAAAGAAAATCGTCGGAGCCGTTTTTGAGATCTTGGTGCAAGCATACAAACATACATACATAGAAGCAAACATTGCGCATATTAGAGTATAGGATAAAATATTGACATTACTTTTCCCCCTTAAAAACTATAATTAACCATCCAATTTGGTAAAAAATGAAAGCTTGTACTCCCTAGAGTCTCTTTATGTTTCTTTTGCGAGTCAAAACAGGGTGTTCATAAAAGGTGGGGACATAATTTACGCAGTAAATCCTTGTGTCCAAATAAAGAGAAAATCTATAATCTATTATACTATTAAAGTGATACAATCAAATTTTATGTAAACGGTTAAGGTCATTTACTAAATAAAAATATAAGCATATGGCATACAAAATGAAGCTTAGAGTATGTAGATTAGCCGAAAAAGTATCGATATGGATGAACTCCCTAAGGGCTCTGCCCCACAGGCTGATTTCCAAAGGGCTACGCCTTGCATGTTTTGGAAGTTTACGTTATTCGATTAATTTAGTTAACAACAGCTGGCCAATGCAATTGACAATATAGTTTGTTTGTTTACATTTTTGTTTACTTATTTTATTATTTACTTTTATGTTCTTAAAAGAGGCGCGGTGAATGGACAGTGAAGCTATTTCTAGCTGTTTGATCAAACTGAGTGATTATAGGTGTTTGAAACACGATGAATATGAGATTAACACAAACCATGTATGTTGTTCGTTCAAAGAGGTTGTCACCAATCTTTAACAGGTCGCCATTTCATTGAAAAGTATTAAGTATTAAAGACGTCGTGAAAGAGAGCGGCGAGTTCAGGTACAACCGTACCCACTTCGGCCACCTTAGACTTAAGCAGTGGCAGATCCAGAGGGGGGGGCGAGGGGGGCGACCGCCCCCCCCTTGGGCATACATATACATATATTTTTTACTGCATGTAATACAGTAGTGCATACAAATTGCGTA